GCTGGCTTGATTCTTATCGATTGCAGATCACAGACAATAATAGAGGCTCGTGCACAGTGGCACGTCCCAGAAGAATGGTCTGTGATCTGCAATCGATAAAGAATCAAGCCAGCTTTGACTTGCTTGTTGACATCTCTGAATGGCTACCTAGCGACCCAGAACCGGCCTACAAAGTCAAACAAAAATGTCTATCATTAGCAATGCCTCCTAGTTCTCTGAATACGATCAAGGTACTACTAGATCACGGGGCTACTCTCATTTGCGATAGCTTACAGAGTGCTACTTCAAGGGAGGAGCCCGCCATCTTCCAACAGCTCCTTGATCACGGTTAGGACATTGATTCGACAGAGTTCCAGAAGCCAACTATACAGTGAGTATTACACATGGTCCCCCAATATGACTCTGCCAAGACCATGTAGACACGCTTTGAGGCACGAAGGCCTATTACGCTGGTTCTTGGACCATGGCGCCAGTCCGTCAGAAGAGCAGGAACCTGTTTGAAACCTCGTAGCACGCTCGCTGCTGCAGCAGCTCTAGCTGATCCCACCCCACTCCGGTTTCTTCTATTTTATGGGACGGACTTAGACACATTGGCGCTGTTCTACTCCACCGCAGGTCGTAGTCGTAACAAAAACGGTACCGCGACTACGAAAGTACCGATAGAACATGGAATTGACGTCAACTATGATTCCCCAAGATGGTCTACGCCGCTCATTCACTGCGCAAGATACAACGCCAAGGATAAGCTACTATTGCTCCTAAAGCACGGCGCAGATCCTACTATCCGCAACCCAGTACGAGATATGTCACCCGCCGAGAGTGCGGAATACTATGAGAATACAGAGCTGTGCAATATTTTGAAAGCAGCCAAGGTTGAGTGGATATCGTCACATGTTGAATGATCGAAAACTAATTTCATCTGTCAAATACGAGTGCGTTCAAGCAGATTCGTCGAACGATAGTAAAAAATGAACAGCGTCAGGTCCAAAGTCTCTTTTCATGTCTATAGCTGTTCTATCGCAAGGCCAACTAATTCCATAGCTCTTCTTTTGGATTCTAAGCAAGCTAGCACCGCCATGTTTGGAATAGATGTCATGTTCGCTATTCGGACCTCCAGCAGCGACAACGATGGCCAAAAATTTACCAGTAATGCCTTCAAAGACACAATCCACTTGACACTAGACATCAAGAAGCCTAGCCTCCTCCATAAAATTTGTTTCTAGCTCCGAGCTGAACCCTACGGCAACAACAAACAATCTCATATTGTAATGGACAAATGTATCGCCACACTTATAAGCGGACTTAATAAGATGCGACTCTAATTCCAATACCACGCACAGCTTCACGGCTTCACGACTTCATTTAGTGCCATAAATTACATCTCGATCTCGGTGGCGTAGCATAAAGTGCCCAGTTCCCCTGGGACAAGCACCCCGCTTTCCCCGCTCCCAGGATTGGTGCCTGCCTACCCTGTCAAAGGCAGACAAAGGTCCAAGAATCTGTGCGTACAGAAGAGAAGAATATTACTATTCCCATAGCCTGTCCTCCTATGAGATCCCCGGATATGGAAAGTATGGTGTTGATGGACCGCAGTTTCCTCCAACTGGGTAGCGGTGGTTCTACTCAGACAGTGGCCATACCTATATGCTGTACCATAGTGCAAATTGCTCCGGAACCTTATGGAGATATGCGATGCTGCGAGTAAATGTCGTATCATGAATTGGGCAGAACGATAGCTAATGACTTCATAGGGAGTACATAGCGCAGATTCGATATTGATATTATACGGTTGCTGTGTTTGCGCATCTTTCAACTGAAAGGACTTTGAGCCTAATCATTCGTAGCCAAACTGAGAAACAAATTACCAGCGCATCTCATGAGTATACATGCGCACTTTTGGTATCGAAAGAGTCAGAAAAGAATCTATTTGGAGGCTTTCATCAGTGAAGCTTACAACTATATTGTGGAAATGATTCTCGAGCTCCCTGGATTAGAATGAGGGTATAAGTGCTCTCAAGAAACACCAGCATGTCGTCATTAGTTCCATGACGTCATACTTAGCACGAAACATACAGCCAGCGTCACACTTCGCTTCGAATTGCAACGATATCATGCAGATGTCTTTACTGTGTTCCTTGTGTCCCGCTTGCTGCATTTGCTAGCGCTTTGTAAGCATCGGGACCTGTCATGACTAACCCGTTTCGGCCCAAAGGCGTACTTACGACATGCTGGGGCAAGAGCAGCCAAAGACTTTTAAGACGACATTCGCCCACGAAATTGACAACATCACCTGGAAACCTTTCTTCAATCACATAGTCTGATAGAATTACCTCACCATGATATCCAAGTCTGAAGAATTCGGCTGGACCGCCGTTCCTCGCAACCGGTCCAACGTCCCTTCTGCCGAAGATGCCAAAACACAAGACGTTACGGTCAACGTGAGCGATATATGGCCCGGCACGGAACTAGTGACGAAGGCAAACGACCATGCTAAGCAACAACTACCTGGAGATGTATACGACCATAGCTTGAGGGTGTACTGTTACGGTACGTGTATTCCGCCCTCTCATCTCACCACGCTGTTGTATTTGACTAGACTCGTCTTTCTGTGTCCAACCGAACTAACATATCAATCAGGATATACTATAGTGACTCAGCATTTCCCCGCCTGGGCTTCCGAGACCTTTTTCGAAACCTGGGCTCTCACTTGCCTCTTTCACGATATCGGCACGACACCTAGCAACCGCTCAGCTACCCATCTCTCATTTGAGTTTCAGGGCGGCTTCATCGCTTTGAACAAGCTGCAAGAGCTTGGTGCACCGAAAGCCCAGGCAGAGAGCGTTGCCGAAGCGATCATCCGGCATCAGGACCCTGGGGAGACAGGCATGGTCAGTCATATGGTGCAACTTGTTCAGCTTGCAACCGAGCTTGGTATGTCATCTTCCCATCGTGATCATGCAACAAAGTCGGTTCAGTGTTTGATACATCGCGCATGACAAGAAATAGTTAGTACTGACAAATTGCAGATAACATGGGCTGGCAACCTCATCTTGTGAGCACCAAAGTCATCGAACAGGTTGTCAAACAGTTGCCTAGGAAAGGATGGTCAAATTGTTTTTCCAGGACCATCGAGGTGGAAATTGCAGAGAAGCCTTGGTGCCACACGACATCAATGGAGGGCTTTGCCGAGGCAGTGGCAGGGAACGAGTTGATGAAGCGGTATGAGTAAGCTCTAGTCACACACAGATGGATAATGATGTAACGGGTCACGATACTTCAGAAAAAGCGACTATTGGGTTACACTCTCATGTTCCTCCTTCCACCTTATCTCTGCCTCTCTCATAATCTCGAGCAATGCAGTGTTCCCCTCCTCTTCTACATGTTCAATAGCCGATATTTTAGACTGAAGTGATATCCAGACTTGGGCCATAGTCAAGCAGCCAGTGTAAAATGAACTCGCGATTGGAATATCCAACTTTTCTGGTACCAAACAGTAGGTACCAATGTACATTACGGGTGGAAACGTAAACTCCGTCTCATTGATATCCTAGCCATTTTCGAGGAGATGTCTATTATCATGCGGATTCAGCGCATCGTCATATATTACAATGTTAACTCATGCAATATTGTTCTATCGCCTATTGACACGACGCACATATCGAACAAGCGAGGCACCTATAAGAACTTGCAGAGAAAGGCTAAAGTACCATATACACGCGATTGATTTGAGCCAGAGAAATAACTTCACAGAGGCGAGAGGCCTAGTTGGTACCTGATCTACTATGCTTGTTCTGAAACCTCGGTTTTTACTCAGTATACGCATATTCGACGACTCAAGTTTACCCCTATCAAGGACATCGTAGAGTGGTATCACAGCATAGGCAAATGCTATACAGGGGCTTCTTAGTATCTGGTTAGCCGAAACAACATAATGGCCATACGTTGCGAGAATAGGAAGAAGAAAAAAAAGGATAAAGGGGACATCATGTATTGAGGCTGCGCGTGACTGAGATAATCTTATCTTGCATCACCATGAGAACTCATTCCGACAAAAACAAGTCCAATGTTTACTTTTCTATCATTTCATTTAATTCTACAAGAGAAACAATCTTGCCTCTACCTGGAACCATGCCAATAACCCGGCATCAGGTAGGGAGACCCAATCATGTCTATCCGCACGGGCCAAGTAAGATAAGCCACACTCCACTTTTCGGGGCCGACCGATCCGAATCGCACTGCCACAAGGAGATATAACGCCAAGAAGAGCTGCACCACCCCACAGATACTCATACAGGAACAACATAGCCTAGGAAATAACCAACAAATAGGACAAGGGGTATTGGGGGACCCTGGCTTACGCGAATTATCACCTAGGGTTAGATACAATGTACATAGGAAACGAAGATTTGGCGCCGCTCAGCGTGCGCGCAAAGCTCGCACATTTACCAACCCCTGGCAAACAGGTATGTCCTGTCTAGTGGGCAGCGAAGAAACGCTTGACGACTTCGACGGTGATATTACCGGCTGCGTCGTCGGGGTAGATGTAAAAGGCGAGCGCGATAATGGCATAGATACCAATGCACATGGCACCTTCGAGGTAGTTGCTCTTTCCGTCTTGGATCAGGTAGTTGACGATTAGAACGGAGATGAAGAAGATCATAGTCTCGAAACCCTGGAAGTGGAGGGTCATCGGCTGGTGCATGATCCATCCGAGAACGACGAGGAAAGGTGTGACGAAGAGGGCGATTTGCATCGAGGAACCGATGGCGACGTTGATAGCGAGGTCCATCTTGCCCTTGTATGCGACGACAACAGCTGTTACGTGTTCTGCGGCGTTTCCAACGATGGGTATCAAAATTAGACCGACGAATGTTTTGCTGATGTGTGCGGATTCAACGATTGAGTCGATACTGTCAACGAGGAACTCGGCGCAGATAGCAACAAGAACGGTAACAATGACAAGTGCGACGCCGGCGGATGTTGGCGAGAGAATCTGGGCCTCCTCCTCCTCATCGCCACCCTCCTGGTTCTCGACGTCGGCAAAGAGGTTGTGATGCGAGTAGAGCTGAAAGTAGAGGTATAGGACGTAGAGGATGAGCAGAATGATGGCGGTACCGTGGGAAAGAACCAGGATGTTCTTATCGGTCTCGAGGTTGTCCTTCTTGTTGTCGCCGTGCATGACTGCGTATAGTGTAGCGGGAATGATGAGCGAAGCGGATGCGACAGCCATGAGCGAGGACATGGTAGATGCGACAGTCTCGTTGAAGCGGCTTTCATGCTGGGTGATACCGGCCGAGAGGAAGCAGCATCCGAGTACCTGGTGACAGTTAGCGGTGAAGGCTGAGTAGGCGCACGATTCGACTTACCAAAAGGATGTTGGACAAAATGCTACCAAGCATACTGGCCTGGACAATTCTGATTTCACCTTGCTTGAGCGCAACGATGGACACCTATGCGTCATTAGCGATGGTCGCAGCGCGTTGGACATTGGGCAAACTTACAATGAGTTCAACGGCATTTCCAAATGTCGCATTCATGAGTCCACCGAGCGTCTGGCCGAGTTTTGCAGAAAGCTCCTCGGTAGCAAAGCTCAATAGGGCGGCGAGAGGAATGATGGCGATGAAGTTGAGGATGAAGACGACGGTGGGATTCCAGTGGAGTGCGCCGGCGACGATGCCAAGCGGGACGAAGACCAATAGAACGTTGACATAGTTGCTGGCGAGAGTGGCATAGATCAAATGCAAGACGTGTTTGGGCAACGTCTTGACGCGCGACTCGTCCTCGTAGTTCTGGGTGCGCCCGATGAGCGGGGTGTGCTCATCGTGGAAGCGACCGTTGGCAGGCTGCGGCATAGTATGTTGGTGTGGTTGAAAACTACTGGCACGACCTGCACGGTGGAAGTCTCGCTTTATGTTTTCTGCCAAGGGCGCTCGTTAGCAAGGTGGAATTCAGCCGAGATCAATGCGCGATGAAGATGGATGCTAGAAGCTATCGAGGTTGTTGTGCTGCGCCCCGGTCCGTCGGCAGGTGATGATGGCGACCAACGATGTCGTAGCAGGATCGGTAGCTAAATACCAAGGCTTTCGAAGCGCATCATAACAAGGCCGGGGCAAGAGCCGAGTGCGGAATAAAGAATCAAAGGGCAATACTCACTCATTGCTGCTGGCGGAAGAGTCAGACGGCCACACGAGCGGAAGAGCTAGCAGGATGTGTCCTGGCAATGGCCAAGCTCCGTGGTCAGGTAGTTGGTATGAAAAGCAAGGCGTGGGATTGGCTGAGGAAAGGGTGAGATTGACCGACAGATAGCGGCAGAGATTGGCAAAGTCTTCGTAGTTAAAAGAGCAGCGAAAACCCCGGCGAATTTGGTTAGTTATTCAAGAGGGGGAGGGGGCAGTGCATCAGCTATGTTGGGGTGGTTGAGATGACGAGGGTGGTTGGTGAGGCGGCTGTGTACTGCCAAGTGAGCACCAGCGGCAAGGATGCCAACTCGAGTGCCAGGGGAAGTGGAGCGCTGTATCATCTCTCGGTAGCGCCGCCTTCGTGTCATGGAAGGCGTTTGCAATGTGTCCTTGCAAAACAAAGCCATCCTGGCAATTACGCTGCCCAGGTGCCATTGTCGCCCCAAAAAGCCTCGCTATCGCCAGATTGCGCTGCGCACTGCTACGGCCGCAGATGATGTCATGTGCGCCGAACGCACCTTCCCGCCATCTCCAATCTGAGCCTGGGCTGGGGGGCCCATGCACGTAAACAGATCTCCATCGGACCCACCTTCTCCTGCCTCCAAAAAACAGGGTCTCAGCCTGCTTTGACACTCAACGTTTCGTATTCCAGAGTAAACCAGTAGTAAAGTAAGCTTAGAATTCTTACTAAGTATCTCTATAAATATTTAGCTTCTTTATCTAACTATAGTAGTATTTAACTAGCTAGTTATAACTGTAAATATTAACTAAGAAGTTTTTTTTTATATATTTTTTAATATCTTTCTAATAGTTATAACTGATGTTAACTAGTAGGAAGTTAGATAATAATAAGTAGTTATATCTATAACTATCTAATTTAGTTAGTTTTGTTAGAAGCCTCCGGGCTAACTAAACTAATATCCGGACGTAAGTCTAGTCCCACCCAATGGCGTGACGAGATGCGATGCACACCACATCAGACATAATTAGTCCTTGCAAATATGGACCATGAATTCATCACAAATCTCTTAGTTGGTATCTCTTGGTCGTCAATTTTCTTTCTCAATAGCTGCAAACCTAGCTACAAGTTCTTGAAGAGCTTAGGAACTTCATGCATGGAATCGGATGCACCGTTCTAATAACCCTGCATCAACTTACCCTCTGCAGCTTCAGGTGGCCAGCGAACTTTTGCATGCAACGGGATCTGCTTCGCTTCGCTTCAAGGATGAGGCCGTTGTATGTTACACCTGAACATCTTACGATATTTACGTCTTCTGCTGGACATTCGAGTGCTTGGCGCTCGACATCGACCCCGTCGTCGTAGAACTCCTCCAAGATTCTTTCCTCATTAATCGCATGTATGATTCCTAATCCGCCGGCTGCGAGGAACTCGAGACTGCCGTAGTCTCATGCTTCCTGGGCATGCGATGGGAAGCGCGTAGGTTGTCTCGTGCGAGGTGCGATAGGCAAGGGTTTTGATCGAGGGAGCGGGCTTGGTGACGCTTCGGGGTTGCGTTAGATCCGGGACACGTAAAGGGACAAGATCGCCTCGGACGGCGAGACGAATGGAACTTATACGTCAAGCAACAGGAGAGCCGCTTCCCTCTTTTGAGCATTGCGGAGGGAGAAGTGATCGTTTTACGGGTTGGGATGCCTCGTGTTCGTCGCTGTATGTCATTCACGTCGGCAACGCGTCTTCGGAGGCCGACCCAGCCAAGGTCGTGACATGGGCGCATCCCGTTAAATTACCTCAGACCACCAAAGCTTACCTAAGTATCAAACTACGCTCAGGCAGCGCGCCTAGACGCAATTGGAACAACTTTCTACCGCCAAGTAAACAAACAGTGATAGCTGTTTTACCCGGCCCTGCCATCGGTATAGCTCCTTGAGCCTAGCCCCTTACACCTATGTGTCCCTGGTTTTCTCGGGTCGATGTTCGAGCTATGTGGTAGAGTCCATATCGTTACCAGAGAACCATGAGTACAGCTCATGGTTCTCCCCTTGAACCTAACATCTATCAGTTGTCTGAGAGCAGTCGAGACCCTGCCCTAGGCGCACGAGCCCTTTCTCTACTTATCAACCGAAACTTCAACCCATAAGTTTGTGCAACCCCACCCCATCCCGACCCACCCCCGACCCATTTGCCAGCCTGGGACCAATAAGACCATTTAGGTGGCCGTGAGAGGGACGAACACGGTAAGCAGAGGCCTAGTACATACCTGTCTGACTGTAGCATTCTTCCCGCTGTATTAACATAGTTAGACATTCAAACGAAGGCTTTGTTTTATCTATCAGGAATAATCCCGCAAGGTAACATGTTTACTATCACGTAATTGCATCCAGAACACCTTTTAGCGATCCTATTGCAGGAAATTTTCATGTCGTAGCCAAAGATCTACGCCTTATCTATCGTGGCAGAGATTGGTTCTTGGGTTAGAAAACAACATACTAGTCATGTAATGGAAGGTATGCCGTGCGACCTCTGGCACGATTGCAAGACTGGCGAAATTTTGTTAGATGGCCAAAGAAGTATAAAACCCAGCTCTGTCTCCATCGACATATAACATCTTCATCACCTTATCAACTTCACGCATAATATCAAGATATTTATACCACCTACACACTCACAATGCATTTCACAGCATTTTCACTCGCGCTGATCTCGATGGTTACTCTACCAGCACACGTCCAAGGCCAAGCAAATGCACCAGTCTGCCTCGCCCCTACCTACAATTCATTGGCTGCATGCAGGGCTTCTTCCGACTATGTAGTCCGACAAGGCGGCCAAAACCCAGGCTACTGCTACCAGAGCAGTGCAGGTGTCTACCAAGTCTGCGTAGGCGGAAACAATTAGTGCTAGTTCAGGGCGCACACTACATGTAAGTTCAAATCTTTTTCATCGGCATTGGAAGTTTGCTAACACAAAGAGGACAGCAGGCATCAGCGTCATTTTCAGGCATAATGAAGGGAAGTGGGGGTCTCGAATCTTGTAGAAGGTTGAGGAGACGATTATAAGAGTACAGTCTTTTAAATTAGCGTAACGAGCAATTCAATTAGTGCACATTGTTGACTTCCTCTATATTCCTGAAGTGACCGTGCTTAGGTGCATTATCCCTAACTAGTCGTTCATGTCGTTAGCTAAGCACGACTACGCTAAACTTAGTAAAGAAGATATAGGCGAGAGCTGCTCACTTCGCTACGAGGGTTATAAAAGGCAATGAGAATTCCAGATGGCTTACTAGCAGAGCTAGTAGAGCATAAGCAGTTTGTCGCTATAGCAGTCCTACGCAAGGGTAGGCATCGACTCTGTTGTTCCCGTATACTGAGACTTCAGGGGGCTGGTCCTTGTGAGTTCAGAATAGCTATTCGTTAGAGCGATAATTATCATGTGTAAATCTTGCACAGCTAACTACCCCTGATTATGGAGCGGTGCCTCACGCTCACTAACAAGTACCATGTACATATGCCGCCAAATAGGCGCATCAATATCGCTTGCCTACATGCGCACAACGTCGATCGTGCAACCCAGGCTATCGCTTTAGGAAACAATCGCGATGAGATGTGGTGTGGTGGAACACCAGAGATCATGGTACTCATGTGGAGTTGAACCGTACCATTAGATAGTAGCAAGCCAACAGCAATTCAATCCATAGATGTCATCGAAAACCTCCGGGTCACCCAACTTATCTACACCGCGATCAACAACTTGCGCGAAATCAAACAGGAACACCAGATATTGGCACTTGTCCCTGATCCGACGGTATAGGCCCGAGGTGTAGCCGCATCCGTGCTAGCGTCCTTTAGTAATCAATCCAGGCTTTCACCCATACAGTTGTCAGATAATAGCACTGTTGAAGATGAGAGCGTACAGACGCTGGGTTAGACTAGCGCGACCCGGCATCTGAGAGAGCCAATCGGATCACAGGAAGGCTTGGCACCCCCCAGGTGTGCCCACAACCGTAGACAGAACCAAAAAACAATCAACAATCAATATCATCACCATTATTACCTATTTCATCAGTATTCCAGATGAGAGTGAATATCTGACAATTAAGAGTCTCACTATCTTTACCTACCTACCAAAATGACGACATTTACCACCCGCGACGCGACCGTGACTTTACGCGACCAGTCAGACTACACCGGTTGGATGCTACAACTGCAAGCGCGTTGCATAGCACACAATATTTGGGATAAGATTGACCCAAAGACTACTACTCAGCCCCTCCGGAGGCCTACCGACCTTAGAATCCCAATCCTTGCTGACTACCAAGCAGCTTCTGGCATCGAAGAGCCAGGAAGACTTAGCGAACTATCGAACAGCGGACAGAAAGCGTTTAAAGAAGACCTCGAGTACTATCGCATGTCGATGGAGCAGTACAAAAGCGACCGACACCAATACGAAAAGGAGCAGTCAAGCTTCCAGCACATCATGACCCTGATTCAATCAAGCGTGTCACCGCACCTACTACGCACATGCTGTCTCCCAGACAGACACTTCGCGAGTGATATAAACTTGAAGCTTACAGTGAGTGAGCGATCGCACGAGAGAGCGAGCTAGAGAAAGATACCTAGCATCCCTCAACCAATGAGGACCCCAAATCAATGGGACACGTGGCTGGCGGAATATGACCAAGCCGCCACGGAAGCTGAAGTATACAGCGTACCAGAAGTGTCACAACTTGATGCGATGTCAAAGGACTTTCTGGTGGCCGTCCAGAAAACAGCACCTATCTGGGCCGTAAACTTCCAAGAGAACGGACGATGGGCAGCTGGGATGAGCCGAAAGGAGATGATGAATCGGTTCCGAGAGCACATGATGATGCACCATCCCCTTTTTAGATCAGGGAAGCACAAAGCAGCTATGGCAGCTTACGATGAAAGCACACATGATGATACAACTCTCGCTGGAGGTGCATCCTACCAGCCACTGCGCGGGACGCCGAGCAGTGGGGTCACCGCGCCATCTACCAACTTGAATCCGGGGAATACCTCGCAAACAAAGTATCGGGGACGTCCTCGTAAACAACCACAAACCTCACAAGCCATGAGAAAGCCAGCACAGAAGCGGTCCTCAGCGCAAAGTGAAGGGACTACCTCCGGGCAGAAATGCCCAGCGTGTTATCAATATCATGAACTCAGAGCATGCTACTATGTCAATCCAGACCTAGCGCCAGAGTGGTGGACACCAAATGAAGCTACAAATGAACTAGTACAGTTTAAATGTAAGAATGATACACAGCTGCAAGGGCTAATCCGCGGACAATGCAGATCCCGTACACGCACGCCAGCTCTGAAACAATCACATACACCAACGCCGGAGTACTCTCAGTCACCAATCGAATGACTAGAAGGCCGAAAGATTACGGACGTAGACGCCGCGTTCACTACCATCGCACGGAGTGGGACAGCCGAGCACACGTACCCTCTCGCACGATCATTCATTCTTGATTCAGGAGCGACGTGCCACATCACAAACAATCCAGATCGGATATACAACTACCGCCCGTCATCATTAGGAGACTACATATGGGCTGGTAGTATAAAGATTTGGATACGGGGATACGGGACCACAGACATCACGCTGCAACATCAGCATAGGACAACAAAGCTAGTGCTGCGAGATGTGGCAATCTGCCCAGAGATCGTATGCAATCTAGTGTCCTTCCGACTGCTACGGCAGAGAGGAATCTGGTGGGATACCAAATCAAACCCAACCAACCTACGAGGACCAGACGATCAAGTTATTGGCAACCTCTTAGAAAATTTTGGCCAGTGGGTATTAGAGTACAATCCTCTAGCCCAGGCATTTGTCCACACAAAAGCCATCACAGCACGCACGCAGCGAGGACCAAAGAAGGCCTCAGCGATGCTGTGGCACAAGAGACTCGGCCACCCGGGACCAGCAGCAATCGAGCATCTCGTGCAGCAGTCTGAGGGGGTGCGAGTTCAAGGGGTGACGACAGTACAATGCGACTCCTGCGGAAGAGCCAAGTCCAAGAGACAGATACGACGCCTACCGCGAACAAACGACGAAGGCCCAGGAGAGCGACTTGCTATCGACTTCCATACATACGAAGTCCAGGCGATCACAAAAGAGAAGAGCCAAATGCTCATTACCGATCGTTTCTCAGGCCTCCAATGGGACTTATACTTTACCGACAACCGGACAGCCAAGTCTATTATCCGGCTGCTCACAACTTTCTTCTCATTTATGAAGAACCATTACAATATATCCGTTAAGACCATAGAGTCTAACAACGAGATCACAACTGTTAAGCCAGATGTCGAGCGATGGCTGGCAACACAGGGCATCAGAGTCGAGCCCTCAGCCCCAGACACACAGGCACAAAACGGTGGAGCCGAGCGCTCAGGGGGTGTGAACAAGGAGAAGGCACGCGCAATGCGACTTGACGCCAATCTCTCTTGGGAACTGTGGCCAGAAATCACTCGAGCCGCAGTCTATCTCTACAACAGAACCCCAAACTACAACAATCACTGGAAGACACCATACGAAGTCTTCTTCACACGAGTAGCTTTCAGCAACGGAATAGTCACATCTCTCCGAAAACCAAACCTCACTCATCTCAAGGCATATGGCTGCAAAGCTTTCGCCATAACAGACGACACCCACAGAGGGAAGTCGCGCCTACAACGCCTCGACCCAAAGGCATGGATCGGATACCTAGTCGGATACCGGTCATCAAACATCTACCGAATCTGGATACCGTCACTCGCCAAAGTGATGAGCACTAGAGACGTTGTCTTCGACGAACAGTCAATCTTCGATGGCAAACACGAAGACCTAATGGACAACCTCATGCACAATACGCTAGAAGAAATCGCGACACACGTGAGGACCATTGAGCTGCCAACACCAGCGCAGCAACCAGAGACGGAGTCTTTCTATGAGGACAGTCCACCGGAGGAGTCACTCGCTCAGGACAGCGAGGGCGACCAGCCAGGATACTATCAAGGGAGAAAAATCCGGGACAGCTACCCGACACCTCCGGCGACACCGCCACCCGCAGCGTTGCTCGCGCGGCTAATGGCAGGAGCATCGCTAGATGAGAAGGATCGACAAGGAACCCCTAAGACTGCCCCATGGGCAGCAGCGTTCATGGCGGGTACCCAGGCCGGAAAGGTTGGAGAATACAGAGGAGTAGCTATGGACAAGGCTGCGATTGTGAGAATGCTCGCTAAAGGCTTGAAGCCCCATCGCAGTTAGCTACCACCTCTGCCAACATGCCGAACTAAGCTTGAGGACCACCCAATGGGAGAACTATTCAAAGAAGCAGAACAGTCCCATCTGGCAAGCCACCATCAAATGAACTCATGGACAGAGATCCCTATAAAGAAAATCAAGCAAACAGGACAACAAATCCTGGACTGCATGTGGGTATACACCTACAAACTTAACAAGCATCACCGACTACTCAAGTGCAAGGCACGACTAGTCGTCCGCGGTGATCAGCAGCGAAACATCACATCGCAAGACACCTACGCGGCAACACTCGCAAGCCGGTCGTTCCGAATGCTAACCGCAATTGCGGCAAAGTACGACCTAGAGCTCAAACAGTACGACGTGGCAAACGCCTTCGTGCATGCGACAATAGACCGAGAAGTATTCATGAGAATGCCACGCGGCCATCAGAAGCCAGGTACTATACTCAAGCTTAACAAGGCATTGTATGGACTGCGCATATCCCCGCTCCTCTGGCAGAAAGAGTTCACAAGCACTCTCAAAGAACTCGGTTTCCAAGAAGTACCGCACGAGCCCTGCTGTCTCATCAAAGGCGGCATCATTATCTTCTTCTACGTGGACGACATCATACTAGCATACCACAAAGACATAGAGCAATCCGCCCAGCAGGCAATTGCCCGCCTACAGGAGAAGTACCTCTTCACAGGAGGAAATGACCTACAATGGTTCCTCGGCGT